ACATACCGGTTTGTTACACCGAATTGTATAGATTTATTTCCTCATAAAGAAACCWYGATAMAAWWTTTTTTTGAAAWAGTGGACATACCAGGTTGTTGCACTGGACCCTTCATACTGTCAATCTATTTACTTGTGAAATATGAGCTATGATAAACTATTTATTTAGAATATGGAATATTTATTAGGTATGTATTGTAAAAATATATATATAATAGTTATATTGAAAATGTGTTTAATATAATGCAAACACCAAACATAATATGGGGAATTATAAATATTTTCATTGTTTTAATTATTTTATAACTAATAACATAAACCTCAATATTATCAAATAGTATTAATCAATATATATATAGCTATATCTAAAACATTTAGTACAGTTTTAATTATAAGATTATATTGATTGCATTACACAAAGCATATTATAATTATTATATTGTGACGTATTACATATTAAATTAATAAAAAAAAGTAAACTTACCATCGGTTTCTTTGAGTGTATATAATTATCATTAACGACACTGTTTCCTGAACCAAATTTTAGTTTCATCAAGTTGCTTATAGAATCTAACAATTTAAAAGTTGTTATAAATAGTGAAATAATTAGAAATTTATTTTTAAATCTATACCTGATTTCTCATTTTTATTGTCTTCATTATTTGCAAATAATACTCTTTTTATCTGCATACTATTACCATCAATACTTTTTTTATAGACCACAGTTGTCTTTTTCTACACTYCATTTGCCACTAGAAGAATCGATGAATTGAATTTCATGATCACTTGTGTTTACTTTATTTACATCAGATATAATTTTACTATTGCCACTTTCAGGAGAATTTAATTTTGAATTACTACTATAACGTTTATAACTGATATTTTTCCCTGGAGACAAGTACTTTTTTCCAGCAGAATCATTGTCACTATCGTAACTATCAGAGACTAAAAATAATATAACATGTATTTAATAATTAATAATATTCTAAAATGTATCAATGTTTAAATTTAATAAATTATTCAAATTACTTTTATCAAATACAGAATTAATTTTAGGTTTCTAAATTGGATCTTTATCAGAATCATCTCCACAATTATTATCTACATAATCTTTAACTTCAAGTTCAGATTTTTCTGGTGTATGTTGCTCTAAAAAAAATTATACACACATCATTTTAACGCAATAATATAAAGTTATAACAAATTACTAACAACCTGTCAATACATAAAAGGTATGGATTATCAGAACAAAAAAGTTAATTAAAATTAATGAAAAAATAGTGTGAAGTACATATAAAACCAATTAAATGATTATAAATAGGATTAATATTTAAATTACAGTAGAAGTCGCTTAATAGAAACACAGATGATAATTGATTTAATCGAATTATTGAAACAAAATTTATATGGAAGGACTAATATGTATAATAAATAAAACCAATCAGTTGATTGACAAATTTTACCTTGGTCCAAAAGTGCTTCTACTCACTAGGTACTGTATAATGTATATATTAATTAAATATAAAAATAGTAATTATCAAGGTACCTTTCATCAGTCTATATCTTGGTGGAAAGGTATCTGTTATGCTGTGTGATGACTTTAACATTTTTCTTTTCAAGTTTGGAGATACACTTAAAAATTTTTGTCTTCGTTTATGTTTGASTCTATCATCTTTTGTGGTAGATAAATCAGACGTATGTACTGCTATAATTGACTTTTATCTAGCTTCTGATAAACTCGCTAAAATTTTATAAGAATTAATAACAATAATCAAAATAAATTAAACATTGAAAATTATATAATAAAATTATACCATTACTTATGTCTTTAAATTTTTATTCTTCAACCTTTGGTACCTGGGATCATAT